TGAGTGAAGAAGAACATATGATGTGAAGTGAAAGAATTCAGCCATGGGAAGTCACATGTTGTAGATCCATTGATATGGACTATGTATAATAGGCAACGCCCTGGGGACAGCAGATTCATAATTTGCTGGTACTGGGACGTGGAGAGTAAGGGGTGCAACTGCTGATCTGAAGGGTGCTTCCTTTCTCCGTAACTAAACTGTCGTGAAATGAATAAAGAAGATGGTTGTACCACATCGTGAACACAATAAGCATCACAGGTAGTAAATACTATAGTATGCTATGACAATTTTTAACAGAATGAGGCTATAGACGATTGAAATAACAGTATTAACATATCCACATCACTTCTATACATATAAATGTACAACCAAAGAATACAGATACTCTTTATGGTAAACACTATCCACATCTCTGTGACAGGAGAAGGTGATATCAAGATGAAAGCAGGTCCAGAGCTTTGTTATCTCTCTGAGGGTGTTCTGACCTCATCCTGTAGACCCCAGGAGCATCCCCCAGTCTCTCACTGAGTGTTAAGATTTCCAGATATGCCCTCAAGTATGTAGTCTGTGTTTGGATTTTCGGGCGTTGCAGCTTGGATCCCAGACTGGGGCATCAGAAGCCTAAAGCCTGAGCCTCTGAGCTTGGGGTACCAAGTCTTCATATAAATGCAAAAACCCTGACTCTGGAGTCTGTGGCCTGAATGAAAAACATGCAGTGTAGGTTCTACCTCATGGAACCTGATGACAGGGGAAAGTCGCAGGAGCCTCAAGCTCAAAAGCTCAAAAGCTCAAAGCAGAAGGGAGATCAGCCAGGACAGTGCATCTGTCCAGGCAGCTGGAGCAGCCACCAAGAAGATGAGCCTGGGGCCGGAGTGAAGGTAGCTGCAGACAGCCTGGGATGCCTGCATGGAGCTGGCCTGGGGCACCACCCGGCCAGGGCAGCCATGCTCTCGGGACAAAATAGGAAGCACATATGTTCAGGAGAATTGCACTCACATCCACTTGATGTTTGTCAGTGCCTCAACCTAATACCCTGACCATTTCCTCTCACTCAAACTGAAACTCTTGCCCTTACACTCATGCTGTGGTTTTAGTTCTGCTTCCATCATGATAACAGCGAGGACCCACACCAGCAGGTACCAGTGCGTGCAACAACCATCTCTGCAAAGAGAAGAGTGTAGAGAGGGAAACGGTGCTGTGATTCAGGAAAAACTTCATGGAAAAGTGACCATAGCAGCTTAGTGTATGTGATGTATGATAATAATGGTCCTTTACTAGCCATATACTAGACCATGGGATCCCAACACGAAGAGAAGATATTCAAAGAAATAATAAGGAAAAATTTCCTTAACTCCTCACACCTTGCAGGTAAGGCTGGTGCCTGTCACCTCATGTTGTCCCCTAATCTCTAAAGCAAGTCCTCACACAGAACAGCGACAACAGGACTATATTTGAATTGTAATGAGACTCTCAGGGAACACAGCACGATGGACCATGGAGAGGACCCTGGACCTTCCCCGGCCTTTTCGGGGGAAAGGGCTGCACATGGATTCAGGAACCATTTGGCCAAGGTGATGGGGCCTCTGAAACACTCATGGTGCTCAGAGGAGAAAAGGCCCAGCCCAGCTCTGTGGCAACAGTAGCAGCCTGTGTGGGAAACCTCCCTCCGTACACTTGACCTCGTTACTGGGCTCTCAGCTGTATCTATTCACCTGCCCTTCATTAACTAATGCACCAGAAAGTGTCAGAGTCTCCCAAAGTTCTGTGACCCAGGCTTCCAGATGCCTAGGCTTGGGATGTGCCAACAGATTCATGGCTGGCAGGTCAGAAGTGTAGGTGACTATGGGGGCTTATGATCAGCCCGCCACGCTGGGCCACTGTTGAGGTCCTGAGCCCTCAGCCTGAGGGATCCCGGTGACATCCTTTACAGCTTGATCTGCTTTGAACTTTGCAATGAGCTGGGGCTGAGTTGAGTTGACTGGAACTGAGGAAGGGCCTGGATAGGTCGGCGAGATGTGGCTGCCATTGGAACTCCCGCACAATTGTACATGGATTCAAAGGAAAGAGAAAATGACTAAGGGAGACATCATGGAAAAGGAGTAGGTAACTCACAGCCTGTGGCAGGTACAAACCTGCCAGGTGTGTTCATAAATTTAGGATTTGGTGTGGCTGAAAATGGGGTAGAGTGTGCCACACACTACCTGGTACATCCCTAGGACAGAAAAATAAACTGCCTGTCACACTGCTTGCCTATAAGCCCAGCTCTCTGGGAAAATGAAGCAGTAGTCTCTCAAGTTAGAGCACAGCATGGGCAACTTGGGGAAGTCGTGTGACTCTTCATCAAAATGAAACTTTAAAAAATACCTTGGGATGGAGCTCAGCGAGAAAATGCGAGCTTCAGTCACCAGGGCCACACATACAGAGACACAGACTGTCTTGATTTCATGTACATTTGCTTCATTTAATGTAGATTTAATACACAGTTTCAAAAGGAAGGAATCCAGACCAGATAATCCATGAGACAAGAGGCTAAGGGTAGCAAAGACCAGTTCAGAGGAGGAATAGGAAGAGTGAAACAGAGAGGTTGGGAGACCAGACAGAACTGGTCACGTCTTTCATGGCCCAAGACCACACTCCCTTCCTTCCTCACAGCCTGGAGCCCTGCTCTCTGTGCCCTGATCTGATTAGAAGCAGGACAGGCAGAGGCTCAGTTCCCAGGACTCTAATCTTTCAGCCTTCAACCTCTAATGTTCCAGTGGCCCCAGGGCAAGCCAGCCCCCATGCAGATCCTTATAAAACCTACAAAGGCTGTGAGAGTCAGCAGCCCACAGATCACAGTCCCACACAGCACAGCCGAGCTCTGAACCCCAGAAGTGGAAGACAGGTGAGCAACCTGGTGTTCTCTCCTACAAGTCTCATTCTGTGCTTCCCGCCCTTTGAGTTCCTGCCTCTTTCTTGTCTCTGTCCTGCTGGGTGTGTGTCGCCTTCTCCCCCTTACAGCATCGCTTTGACTAAGTGTACAGTGAGGACTTTGAGATTCTCCTGCCTCCCGAGTACTGGGATTACAGGCGGTGCCACCGTCCAAACTCCCAGTGAGGTTTTAAGACACAGACTCTAGTGTCCTCTTCGCTTCTTACTCAGCCTGTCAGTGCCCTGATCTGATTAGAAGCAGAACAGGCACCCTCTCTTGCTTTACATCAGCACCCTCCGTGGTATGGGGATAATATCAGGACCTGGCACCTGAGATGGATGTGAAACTGAGTCAGCATGTGTCTCCTGCTAGTGCGATGCCTGGCACAGGGTTGTGTCTGAATCTATTCACTGAGAGATCCTTCATTTCCATCTCAGTCTCCTTCAGCTTAGTGACCTGAGACATGTGTGTCTGAGCCCCATCTTCTCCTCCAGGGTTCAGCCTCAGTCTTCACGTCTCTCACTCTGTCCCTAAACGCCTCTTGTTCCTCAGTCTCCCTACCTTCTCTGTCCTCACAGGTAGAGCGCACACTGTGTTCTCCCAGGAACTGGATAAAGAATGGGCCTTTTGGTTGTCCTTACTGGGGAGGGGGACAGCAGCTGGCACGGAGCGTGAAACACCCTGCATTACATGGAGCAGGGCACAGCAGAAAAGTTCACCAGCCATCAGTCATCAGCAGGCAGAGGGATGGCTCTGTGGCGTTGCGTGCTGGGGGTGTCCTGGGTCTATCCCCAGCAGATCATGGAAAAATATCATAAGGCAGAAGGTGCCAAACTCTGTCCTATGCTACTGTTCCTTGGTGAGAGTCTCAGAGTGCAGGCTGGACAAGGTCCATTCTCGCTGCTCCTGGAATGGTGGGCCAGGTCCCACAGTCACCAGGTCTCCTCCACAGCAGGTGCTGACATGGCGACCACAGCACAAGTCCTCTGGCTTTGTTTCCTGGGATGCGTCATCCACTCGGCCGCAGGTATCTGAGTGTGGGTGCATGCTAACCCATGTGCACCCAGAATGGGTCATCCTGCCCCACCAACAGGTCCCCTAGGTGTCTGCATGGCACCAGGATAGAAACACAGCTTGTGCAGAGACAGCAACTGGTTTCTGAGCCCAGCTCTGCTACTTCTTACCTTGGCAAAGCCTGTAATGTCTCTGTGCCCAGTTTCTCCCCTCCCATGGTGCTCTGAAAGCAGGTTACATACTATAGTATAAAGGCCCGTGCTCCCCAGACTCTGGCCCATGGGCGAGTGTCCAGATGTTAGCTGTTATTAGCACAGGGACAGCATTGTGCATGGACCACCTGCCCCAGCTGGCAGAGACGTGTGGCAGCTGCTTTGCTACCTGTGCACATCACTGCTCCTGAGCTCCTGGGGAACGAACCCCTGCAGTGGGCTGCGGTCCAGGATGAGAAGTGATCTCCAAGGTAGTGTTCTTTGTGCCTGGCCATCCACTCTGCATATCCAGGAGACAGAATCCCAGGCATGTTTGTCTCTGTCCTCAACCTTGCACTGCCACTCCTCCTGGGCAATGGCTTTTGTGTGGTAAAACTGAGCATATTCCCCTGGGTGGTGGAGCACAGTGTGAAACTTCAGCCTCAGAGGAGGTATCTGGCCTTGGATATTCCCTGCTTGATCCTCAGAGGCAGAGACTGAGACCTTGCCCCTCCTCAGCCCCCCTGATATACCGTGGGCCTTCTTAATCCAGACCCACCTGAGCCCTAGTGGATATACTACTGCATCCATTACCGGATTGTTTTCCCCAGCCACTGCATCCCCTGTGTGCTCATTCCGCAGAAGCAGAGATTCCTCCCAATGGGACCAGCAATCACATCCCAGGTCGGCTCCACCTGCTCAGGAAACGTGTTACTGATGGCATCACTTGCACTCCACACTCCCAGCCCTGGATAGCCGCACTGTTTGACGGTTTGCACCACTACTGTTCTGGAGTTCTGGTGCATCCGCAGTGGGTGCTGTCAGCTGCGCACTGCTGGAGACCGTGAGCAAATGCACTAGGGGTGATTGCATGAGTGGGGCAGTGTGCTGGACTGGGAGGGCTGGAGCATGGCTTCTCTTGTCTGGGCAATGTAGGCAGGGCTTAGGGCCTGACATTGCACTGCAGTGAGAGGCAAGACCCAGTCTGCGATTGAGAACACAGGGCCCAGTCTTGGCCCTGAGGGGTGTTCCAATGCTGCAGAGATGGTGGGACAGGAAGTAAGTCCCAGCTCCAGTGGCTGGACATGTCCAGAGCTGCGACTTTAAAACACACAGCCTGGAGAAAGACTGGAGGAACGCTCAACACGGAGGCTGGCTGGGAGATCCTCTTCCCCAGGCTGGAAGAACATTCACATCTCCTGCTGGGTCTGAAGAATCCTTCATGTTGGAAGAGAAACTAGGCAGGAACCTGGGGTTGACATGAGTACGAAAGTCCCGAGAAGAAAGTGCCTTGAGAGAGGCAGGCTTCGATCTGATTTCAGGCCCTTGGAGCCAGGTCCTGTGGACAAGGGATCTCTTGGCACCGGGTGCAAGGGGTCTGGGGCAAGGTGAGGGAGACAGGTGAAGACAGAGCCAAGTGGATGAGGACAGAGGTATGGACTGTGCTGCAGGGCCGGGTATAGGGAGAGATGAGGCAAAAGCTTATACTGTAAAAAATATGATAATGTCTTATTTAAACAAATTAAGACAATGCAAACATTCATGAAGATCATAATTTCCACCTCTTATATAAAAAGGATCCTTTGGTGTGGAGCCAGGGTGAGGTGCACCTCAAATGCTGTCTTCCCTTCAAGTTCTGACATGTTCTACATTGTGGAGTTCATGAAATACTTTTGAATTAAATATATTATACTGAACCACAACATTAGCGGCTGCTTTAATTAATGCATTACACAATGTTTCTCTTTCCCCAACCCTAATAATAAGGTTCTGAGGCTATCTAAGGGTGGAGATTGGAACGGGATTTGGACACTGTCCAAGTGGGGATGAGGATGGCACCAGGCATGCGTCTGGATGGGTAGAGGGCGGGAATTGCAATGGGGATGGGACTGAGGTTGAGGAAGAGTGGGCCTGAAGCTAAGATTGGATTTTGGTGTCCATCGGGGTTTGGGCTCCTAGAGAGGATGTAGTTATAATGGTACTGACTATTCCATCATCCTCAGTTCCTACACCATTGGGCTGGGCCTCCACGGAATTTACGATTGGTTTGAACAAGGCAGCATGATTATCAATGCCAGGCACTCGGTGAAGCACCCTCAATACGCCAACCCTACAAATGCTAACGACCTCATGCTCATCAAGTTGAACGGACCAGTTGTGGAATCAGACACCATCCGGACAATCCCCATTGCGTCCGAATGTCCAACACCTGAAACCAGTTGCGAGGTCTCTGGCTGGGGTCTGCTATTGAAAGGTGAGTTTTGTTGTTCCTGTCTCTGGACTCATTGATAACTGTGGAGTCTCTGCACAGGAGTGTTTCTGACCTTGTGTCCTTTCCTTCAGGCTACTACCCTTTGGATCTGCAGTGTGCGATTATTCGTGTGGTTGCAGAGCCGTATTGCAGAGTCATGTTTCACACATACCACCACGACAGTATGTTCTGTGCTGGTGGTAAGAGCCGCAAGAACACTTGCTACGTAAGAGACTGGGACAGGGAGGCAGGGGTTTAGCATGGAGGTGGAATTTAAAACCCACAAAGGGCAGTAGGTCATGCAGGAATGAGGGAGACTCAGAGGGCCACGGAGAGACAGAGGTGCAAGGAGACAGAGAGATGGACCTGGGAGGTGAGAAGGAAACAAGGAGACACAGGGTAAGGCAGCTACAGAGGCAGGCAAGGAGAGCCAGGGAGAAGTAAGCAATCAGCAGAGAGATGTAGGGTCATGATGTTCAGAGGAGGGCTGGAGAGACGCCCAGGAGGGAGTCCGGGAGGGTCCTGGGAGTAGGAACACAGCTGTAAGAACAGACTGGTTGACTGCATTCAGGATTCCCAGCCCCCAGTTGTGCCTTGCACAACTCCCGTCATCAACTGTAATGTGTCCAGAGCCCACAAATTCCCACCCAGTCTCACCCTTCAATTCAGACTCAGCCAAAGCTGGAAAAGGAGGTACAGGCCTGGGTGTAGCTCCTCAGGGAAACTTTCCAAGGGGGTGAAGGGAGAGCTGGTGTTTGAGTCAGGACTGTTCCTGCCTGCCTACAAGCTATGGTTTACGTGCGTGGCTTTTCAATAATTGGGCCTGTGTATCTGTGTTTTCACTGTCTTTGAATCTCACCAGGGTTTCAGTTTGTCACCCCATCACCTCTTCCTCCTCTACCCCATGTGTCTCTGGGTCCTGCTCGGTCTGTCACTCCTGCTTGTGTCTTTAGCTCTCACTGCTGACCTGAAACACTTGCATTGTATGTTTCCACTCTGAATCTCCGTCTGCCTTTTCGTCTTTATGCTTCTGGCTTCCTGTGTGTCTCCCCCCATCCTCAGCTCCACCCGCCTTAACTATCTCTTCTCTTCCCTCAACAGTTAGACTCTGGAGGGCCACTGGTGTGCAACGGGGTCCTGCAGGGCCTTGTGTCCGGTGGAACCCGCCAGTGTGGCTTACCTGGAGCTCCAGGCATCTACACAAAACTATGCAAATTTAAAGAGTGGATAAATGAAATCATACAGACCACATGACCACAGATGATGTTGGGACCAAGTAGTCCATACCGCCTTCCAAACCTGTCCCTAGGCTCCACCTGTCTTAAACAGCTGTTGGACTTCACTGAATCTGGTTTCAAATATATTGAGATGAAATGTGCCTCCTCTCTTGTGGAATTTTATGAAGACTTGAAGTGGAGTTTTCAAGTGTGTAATGGTGTTACTGACTTTAAGATGTTATCATATCCTTGTGTTCCTGGGACATCTGCTACATGGAAGACATACCAGTGTACTTGACCCTAATTACTATGGTGAACAGCTGCCCAGGTGCGAATTCTGTGGCTGAAGCTGTGGAATTCAGAAGGACCTCAGTGATTGTTCAGGGACCAGAGCAGATAGAACATACACTTCTCACTCTCATACTCACCTGAATAACTGAGAATCTGGAGTTGAACAAGTGGCAGGTAGTTATAGTGGTTGAGGAAGCTGAAGGTAGCATGAGGTAGACATGACCTGCAGGCATGAGCTGTGTCAGATCACAGGAATGGAGGTGTGAGGAACGGAATGAGAGATGGGACAAATTGTGCTAGAGGGAGCAGAACTGATGGCAAAGTAGAACCAAAAACTTGAAAGAATTAGAACTGTCCTCACAGAGTTGTGTTAGGGATGCACAAGCAGATCAGGGATACCCAGTATGCAAACAAACCATTAGAAGATAGTGAATAGAAAAATAAATCCCAAAATGTTATTTTTTAAAAATACAGTGGATTTGAATACAGAAAGTATTTTAAAAATACTTTCTTTTAAAACAGAAAGACTAAGGTGAAATATTAACCACTGGGCTGATAAAGAGAGCTAGTAAACAATATGGAGGAGATGGGGAAGCAAATGAGCATCAGGGGTGAAAAGGAGAAAGAAGGTGAAAAATTACACACACACACACACACACACACACACACACAAACACAAACGTGTGCCACTCCACAAATCAAATGCAATTATTTCTTTGCAAACACATACCAATAAAAAATTAGTGAGCTGGAAACACGGTGGGAATGGAGACAGATGTCAAAAACTTAAAGCTACGCAAAATAAAATGTATAAGATCTCCTGGCACAAATGAATACTCTATTGGCTGGCAAAAAAGAGAAGTAATGCAAATGCTTCCCTGGCAACAGCAAGTTACTGAGTTCGATTCCTGATGCCAAAAAAAAAAAAAACTCCCAAATGAATACACATTAGAATGGCACACATTCACACCTGCCGAGGTATACATACGGCACACTCGCACATCGACCTATGCAGTGTCAAAAAGCAGAATCCACATGCTTGTGTGTGGGAAATGGAGCTGGGGAATCATGGTGGTCTTGCGTTGTACAAGGGAAGAGAATACATTTGGAGATTCTGTTGCAAACAATGCCCATACTTTCCTTTCTTCTCTCTTTGCTCCCCAGAAAGCCACAGAGTGGGAGGAGCTGTGTGACAGGTGCTCATTCCTGGGACTGTGGGGACAGAGATGTGAGACAAAATGTTCAACAACAGGGTGGAGAGGAAGGCAGGAGGATGATTCCAACCACTTTTGAAAAGTGCAGACCAAGGAGGGAGTGGGGGAACCCAGCTACTGAGGGAGGCAGAGGGAGAGAGAGACAGAAAGAGGCACCAGCAGACATATAGATGCCCTGCACAGGGAATGACCCAGCTCAGCAAAGAGGAAACAAGAGGGGAAGCAACCAAGGCAGAGAGAGTGAGCGACACAGAGCTCAGGGTGGGAGGCTGAGACCTCAGGCCAGGGTGGTACACGCAAGGCACTGGAGTCACAGATCTCGCCTCCGTGGGGTTCAGCATGCTCAGGCACATGTCCAGCCTGGCTTTCCCACACCGGGGACAGAGGACACAGTGACAGGGTGCTAGAGTGCAGCAGGCTTCCATCCAGACTCCCTCAGGTAGCCGTGCTGGTGCTGGTCCAGGTGCCCAGCTCTACAGCAGTCAGAGAAAGGAGAAGCCCCCGCCTCTCCCCTTTCTCCCCTGATGCTGAGGGAAGGGCATGACTTACAGCTGTCCTGCCGCACTCTCTTGTTTCCCTGTGCTCCTCCTTGGGCCCCCAGGGGACACTGAGACAGCCTGCCTCCGTGTCCTGCTGTCAGTTCTAATGTTACTTCATAGCTGCTCTCTGGGCCAGCCTGACATGAAGTGCCAGTTGGTTGTCACCCACAGTGCCACTCTCCCACTCTCACCTCCCCAGATGCGCTGCCACCTCTGAAGTAGTGGCCAGGAAACCACCTCTCTTGTCGAAGAGATTAGGAGGGCTCAGGCCCGTTGTACACAGCGCTCATAAAGTTGAGGACACAGCTAGCACTCCTGCATGTTGAACAGTACTGTCCTGGCCATTCTTGTGGCTACTTGGCAGCTCTCAATTCAGCGGCAACATCTCCCCTGATGTACCCTGGAACTCCCGCATGACAGCTGCAATGACTGTGCCTGCCCCGCACCAGTGCAGCAGGTGTCTTCTATGAACACCATAACCTTGAATTTAAAATCAGCAGTAAAACTCAATTGGGACTAGTCAGTATTTGCAGATCAGGGACTTGAATGTGGACCAGTTAGGAAAAATTAACAAGTCCAAATTTGGGCCAATAACAGGCCTCCATTTTGACACATTGGCAGGGCTGAATTCACAGCAATCTGCTGCATCTAATCCAGTTGCATCATAGCCCTCAATGTCAACCAACCAGCAGGCCCAAATTTGGACCAATCACAAGCCTGCTGCAGCTTTTCAAGTAGCACTGGCCTCTCAATTCTGGCGTTCATTCCGAGGGCTCCCTTTTCTGCTTAGAACCTGTGGTGCTGCAGGACAGGTCTTCTTCACATAAGGCTTGCCCTGGTCATCCTGTAAATGCACTCAGGATTCTTATCCAAACAACTGTGGATACAGGGCTTGCTTTAAAAATGGTGTAAATGCTTTTGTCTATTACCCCAGGAAAGCTGCAAGACCAGCAGCCACGGAAGAGCGATGACAGAGGTAAAGGATGGAGATCAGTTCACAGAGATTGGTGGCCAGGTGGCCTGGCTGGCACTGTCTAGCAGCAGCAAACAATGGCCACAACCAAGGGGGCTGTGAGCATTGATGAGGAGCAGTAGCAACCACCCGCCACGGGTACGGAGCTGTACCTAAAAGCGCTCACAAGGGCATGGCCCGCAGAGCTGCATCTTGCCAAAGCAGGGTTTCTATGTAAATCAAACCAAAGCACTCTCAACTGATTGGTGAAGCCA